TAAAATGTATATACTAATATAATTATTCTCTCGAGTTCTTCCAAGGTTTCATAGATTGGCAAAATTTTAACAGTTTCATCAATAAAATTTATATGTGTAAATGCAAAAAATTTTTGCAGACGTAAAATATACGCAAAATCATAAATATCTTATAAGCAAATATTATATATAGTTAAAGAAACCTATTAAACTTGATATGTAAAATACAATAATTTTTTTATATAGCAATAATAGGATTATTACGGTCTTATCAAGTTTGACGTACAATAATTTTCTTATATGATAATAATAGAATTATTACGTATCTCTGATTGTCGCAATGTTTTTACAAGACAAAGCCAATAAGCAAGCAGAGATGTTACATCGAGATCATTGAGGCAATACATGATGTACGATTGTAATTTTTACCTCGTTGAAAAAGTAAACACCGAACGCGCGCAAATTCAAACAGAGTATATCAAACAATAAAGCTATATTATTGACAAGAGCTAGATACTGTATTTACTTAAAAGCCAATAATATGTCAGTTATATTCTGGATTATATCGAGAACGAAGAGATAAATGAGAACTATTTTAATAGTATCCATACAAAAAAAAATAAGAATTTTGTTAACAAAGCTTTAGTTACTGAATTCTAAGGGAATTTTGCGAAGGATTTACGAAATGAAACAAGTATCTTAATTTATTCGATATTATTTCACGGTCCATATATAATGTATTCAAATATAATACATATTTATATTCGATTAGATCTATTTCATTTTCACTCAATTATTAACAAACCATTATGAAACATTATGTATAATTAATACAACAAATTATACAAATAATTATTATTCGTACTTAAACATAATATAATATTTATGATTATGATTTCGCGCACACGTAATTGCAAGTATTAATTTTTACAGATTTCAGCGTACCATTTTTTGCTAGCATCGCAACTTAAATTTACACAATGAGGACACCGTATTAAAAATTTAGGATTTACAGATTGTTTTGATCTAAGACGAGACACAACAATATCCGTCAAAGCGTCGATAAAAATAGGATGATCATTAGGCGCAGCAGCTCTTCGTATCGTCTCAATACCAAGCTAGAAAAATTAAATATAAAATATTCTTTGATTATCGCATTAAACAATAGATAGACTGCAGTATTTCTTACTTCTTCGGCAAGTTCTCGGCAATATTCTATATCCAATTCGTGAAGAGTTTCAATATGCTCATTTACAAATGCAATTGGTACCAGAATAAAATTTTTCTTGCCCTGTTTAACGTAACCCTTTAACGCTTCATCGGTAAAAGGTCCCAGCCATGATGTAGGTCCAACCTAAATATATATACTCCGTAATGCATATACTAAACGCAAAACATTCTCTAAGCTATCTAAAGTTCGCTAAATTTTAAGCAGCACATACATTTATGTATATACCTTTGATTGCCATACCAAGCTGTATGGATTACAGTAATTTAATTCCTGCATTACTAATGCAACTGTGGCTCCAACTTCTGCAGGATAAGAATCCCCTCTGTTTACAACCTAAAGTAATTACAGGAAAAAATAAATCAGACTAATTTCTTAAGTGATAACATAAAACGCATTAATTCAAGATAACAACCTGTAATGGTAAAGAATGAGCTGAAAATAAAATTATCACATCGTCTCTTTTTTCGCTAGAAAATTGTGCAAGTTCCTCTTTAATTCTTTCGACAAATGTTTTTACAAGAAGTGGGTGCGTAGCCCATCTATCGATTATGCTCCATTTCATGCCATTTGGTGACTTTCTATAAAAATTTTGATTTATTCGTGTATATGCATTTTAACGTCCTATTTTCTATTTATTCTTATTTAATGTATTGTATCTTATATTGAAACAACAAGTAATAATTTAATTTATATATAATATAAATATTGTCTGTGTGTACATATACATATACGATATGAAATAATATTTGCCGCATCTCCAATTTAGTAAATCTGCTTATAATAAATATGTGAAAAATAGATAAGATCAAATATAAATGAATGAAGAGAGTCATAATTAATTAATCTTTCTTCTTTCTATTGATCTATAATTAATAATTGTCTTATGTAAGCTAAAAGTAGATTAAATAATATAATAATCACCTAGTTTTGTAATAATTGTATATAGCATTAAAACTGGAACCTGAAGTTGAACAACTATATTGAGGATATTGAGAAAAAAGTACAGTATGTTGTACTCCATCGCTGAAAAAAAGCAACTCATTCAAATTACCTTCATCTTTCTACAATCATTTACATGTTTAGATTATATTACACCTAAGAAAATATGATAACCGTACTTGTGTATCCTCTCAAGGGTATCTTCTGTGAGAGGATCTGCGTATCGAAAGGCAACATAATACTTATGAGGTGCAGTTTCAGGCGAAATTTTATCCAGTTTTTTGCATAAAAGTTCGCCCTGTTTATTCGTCCATTGTAATATTGGCGATCCGCCACCAATCTCAGAATACTTTTTCTGTACTTCTGGAGTACGACGTTTGGCTATCCAAGGACCTAATTTACTGCAACATATTTCTATAAAAGATATCTCTCCCACATAATACTCTCTTTCGTACTATGTATGTAAGCTATGTATATAAGTTCTATAAAATTCAGATTAAAACCTTTGAACTGGAAGTTGAATCATATCACGATCAGTCATTATTCTTAATAGATATTCATGGACTTGATCAGTATTGGTAGGACCACCCATATTTAACATTAATATACCAGTTTTTGGTTTTATATTGTCTTTGTCTACTGAATTTGCAGCAACAGAAGCGTAGCACCTTGCTACAGCAAAAGGTTTCGTGCATTGTCGCCCTATACAAAATTATATTATAATTACTTATTGATTCTTCTAATCACTGTACATAGAAAAATTTCGAAGATAAATGAAAATTAGAAATATGAAGCTAAATGTAAAGCCACTTAACAGACTAGAAAAACTGCACAAATCATAACGTATTGTTAGAGTAATATCTTTACGAAATATAATAGATTTCATAAATTTAAAATTTACTATGTTAAAAAAAGCTCATAAATAAAAGTAATTAATATTAAATAAAAAACTGTGAAAGAAGGGCTGTAGGAGTCAGCGCAGTTAACAGTGCGAAATATATATATCGTGTTTATTGCAAATATCAGAAAAAGATGTTCAATATAAAATTAATGTTGAAATATAAAATTACGTTTCACCTCAACTTTTCAGTCATCTTCAGTAACAGTTACAAGCTAACAGAAACTTAAAGTGCAACTAACTGCATTTCCATGGTTTGTGTAGGTTGTCTATTAATTAATATTACATGCCATTTTAAACAGTAAGGTATGTTCTAACTTGACATGGCTAATAATTTTCTAAATACTGCGCGCAATAAAAAAATAATTTATCACTATCATTATCATTGCTCAATAAGATCACTTTATTGTCACTTTATTATACTTTATTATTATTCTATATTTCTATAGAAATGTGATTTAAATCAAAGTCTAATGACTTACCGAAATATAACAGGCTCGTGAACAGATTGTTAATACTCATGTCAAAATGGCACTTAATAATCCAGACTGAAAAATTACAAATTACAACATAGAGGTTATCGAGCGTAATGAATTGTGCATTATCACGATGATAGATTGACAGTAAAGCGTATATACCGTTAGATAACATCAACTTGGACAACCACGATTAGGTTAGGTCCGACGTAATACATATAAATACATATAATCGCGAATAAATAAACACGAATAAATAAACAGATATGGTTTATCAAATCAATCAAAATTTCTAATTCTACAAAACTGATTTTCTCAAATAAATAACAAAGTTTCATCGAATAGAAATCATTTGAACAAACAATAAAATGTATAAATTCGATTTTTCTTTTACACATTTATTGCACAATCATATTTATATTATATTGTACGACCTTTGGCAAATGCATCTCTTTCCTGAAATCAATTTTTTAAATAAATTTCTTTAGTAAAACGAAAAACCATAAAACTTTTTTTGCTACGTGAATAATTCCTCGAAAATTGGCACTTTGCTTGCATTTAGCATTACGGCTGCCAGATAGCGCTATGAAAATCTGCACTAACCATGCAACATGTTAAAAATACTTATATTAATAGAATAAATACAATACGACAGTGTCAAAAATATTTAGACATGTAGTTATACAAGAAAATAAACAAAACTTCTTTTCTTTCTTGTTTTAGCAAAACATTATATTTAATAAAATTCATTAAAAATCTAAAAGATCATAAAATTCATTCATATACAAATATTTTGCTTTAATTGCGATTACAATATGTTTTTAACAAACGCATATTTTATTTATTTACTAACAAAGCAACGTGCATTTGTCGTCAATATCTAAACGGTGCTGCCCTCAGTCGTGAAATTTCGAAGCAATGAAGTACTGCATTTCACGATTTTATTAAACCGGTTTATGAAATAAATACTGCTCGTCAAATTAACCTATCTGATTCACAATTAATTCACTGTTTTATGATAATACAATTCCGATCAATTGCGATTACTCAGTTTTTAATTTGGTACCGTTCGAGCATCTCTCGTGCTTTGCAGATCCGATTGGATCGGCATTTAATCAGCATTGTCATAAACGTCAGACTTGAACGAACCACAGTGGAATAATGACAGAGCGGACGGGCGAGGAGTTGACATCGTCGGAGCTGGGTACTCTAGAGTTGTAAGTAATACATACCGTAACTGCGCAACACCCGTTGTGCATCACTCGCCGCTTTTCTGATCCTCTGTTGTTCGCTCTTGCCGCAGCTGGGAGAACGTGTACGCGCAGGAACTCGACAACTTCCACGATCACGGCGACGTAGGCGAGATATGGTTCGGCGCGGCCAACACGCGCAAGATCGTACGGTAAGCGAAGCCAGAAAGACCGGCAGTCTGGCACGCGAATACGCGTCTCGTATTGTACCGCAAGTAAACAGCACCGCGGAAAATCAATGGGCTTTCCCGCGGAAACGAAAACAGCCGCGATGCGATCGAGACTGTTGCCCGCGCGACACTGGTGGCGACATCTGCGAGACCAAACATTCTCTCTCCGTCGATAACATTTTGGTCTCCCAGACGTCGGTTTCGCGATAGCCTTTTCTACTGCGGATAATTGTTAGATAGATTTATGTCCATTTCCAATGCAGATTAACTTTGAACTCAACTTAACTCTTCATTTTTCAATTTATTTCTTCTTTTTATAATTTTTAGAACTAGAGTTGAAATGAGATTAAAATTAATCTGCGTTGGTGGAAACGGGTCTTAGAAATAATAAACTTATAGATGGTTGATTAACAATTACTTTTTTCTTTCTAACATAATTAATACTAAAATTACCGATTAATTTATCTCTATTTCTACTACTATTTAATAAATGTATTATACTATTTCTGTATTCTATATTTTTTCTGAAAAATGGGATGAAGGGAGAAAGTAAATTGATCAAATTAATTATATTTATATATTACAACATAATGTACTGTTACAAATTTAAATAATTCTTATAAAAGATTACAAAACAATCATTTTGACTGCTTTGATAATTCTTATTAATAAATATGTTATACGCATTTAAAAGTACTATATATTTGGGATTTGATATTTATTAATAATTTTTTTTATTTCTTTCGTAATCCGATATGATTAGAATGATTAATATAAAATTTTATAATCTTTCTTCAGTATTATTTACGTGAAATTAATAAATTTTTTATATAACAATTAATATTTTATAACAATTAATATTTTTAATTTGATATGTAGAATAAAAAAAGCGATTAATTTTTTCTGAAACTTAATCTCTAAAATTTTCGTAATCTTCATTATTTTTTTAAGATATTGAAAGTAAACAAATAAGTAAACAATAAATAAAAATAAATGAAAATTGTTGCTCGTATAGCTCCGAAAATTTTAGAATTGATATGAAGGAAGTTATTTTTTAGATGGATTGCCACGAAATTGGATTTAAACAAAGAGAATGATAAGATAATCGATGTAGGATGTGGTAATGCAATGACTTTGGTGGAACTCGCGAAAGAAGGATTCGCGAACTTGACAGGGGTGGATTATTCACAGAAAGGGATAGATCTGGCCCGTACAGTGTTGAACGATAACAATTTACCGAATGTAAAAATAGAGATTTGTGATATACTCAACAACACATTGCCGCATGATTTTAAAGTCGTTCATGATAAAGGCACTTACGACGCTATTAGTTTAAATCCAGAAGATTCGATGGCAAAGAGACAGAAATATATAGAAAATATATATCGCATCCTTTTGCCAGGAGGATATTTCGTCTTAACGTCTTGTAACTGGACCAAAGAAGAATTGCTGAAGCATTTTGCGAGTCGTTAGTACAATTATTAATTAAAATTTTAACTCTCAACACACTACAGCTTAAGTTCTAAAACATCTTATTTGAAGTATAGAAGCAAGTGAATCTCTATCTTATAGTAATTAATAAGAAAAATTTAAATTGTTTGTCTACAATTTAGAGCCTCATAGTATTGGGGTGGAACAAAAGTTCGTAGTGCTACGAACTTTAAAATTCAAACAACTATAATTTCATTAAAAATGAACGAAGTTTAAATTAAAGAAAAGAGTTTTAAAGTTAAATCTTTACTTTCAAAAAGTTACTATATCTTTTCAGTTTCTGTAAGTTATTAACTTTTATATATAGAAAACTTTTATATAAAGAAAATAATAAGTTAGACAAAATAGGAAACTTTTTTTACTTTGTGATCTGTCGAGTGCAAAAAGTTTGCGAAAATTTTTGACTTTCTGTAATAGTCTTTCTGTTGTGAAAGCTTAAAATTTTTCTTACAAAACTTTTTTTTTATTTTTCTAAGA